CTCACAAAAATAGTCGTGACATTGCTCACAAAAAAGTTCTGCTTCATGTGCTTGGCACTCAATACACAGAAACTCATTCTGTCGTGCCTGCTCCAGCTCAGCCGCATCTTCGTCCCCCAATTTCTTGGCGTCATTAGGTGCGACTGCCGTCATGTGTGCAAATAGCGCACGGCAATCTTCTGGAAGCTGAACGTCATCGTCCAAATTGTCGTCCAAGAGTGCAGACAGCGTGCGCATGCGACTGATGCCAGCATGGTGCTGGCTTGTGTCGGGGCTTGATGCCATCACAGGACCAGTTTTTGGTGTGGCGCACGCATCTATTGCAAAGTAAAGCCAAGTGTCAGTGTCGTGTGCAGAATTAAAGTAAGGTCCAAAAGTTATTGATGTATCGTGACCGGCTTAACTTGACCCTTGCATGTAGCTAGGAAACATAACTAATTCTAATTCAGTTGCAAGGTTACCTTTAAGGTATTAATTTCGGTTTTCCTCCCTCCAAGTCGGAATTGTCCTACTCCCTCCACGTCGGGAATCGCTTCCTCGTCGAACAAGCGTGTGTTTTTTTGAGGGGCTGTCGCCCCTCTTACACGTGGTAGCACTTCGAGCGGTCTTTCCAATGGAACCAGATTTTGATTAAATGACGCGGCTGTTGAGCACGTAGCACATTCCAGACCAAGCCATACTCTTGTCTTTGTCCGAGCGACGTAGGAGGAGTTGGGTACCACTCTGTCCATCGAATGAGATGTTTCCTTATTTGTCTTTACATGAGTTAGATGGCACTCGAGCGGATACGAGAAATCATCAAAGATCTTCAAGAGTCAGCTTACTGTAGTCGTTCTCTCCGGATGATCAGAAGTACGCGGTCGTCAGTTTCATGCATCACGAGATTATGGAATATCGAAAGCAGGTCGCAATCCCTGTCTCTTCGAACAAAACGTTGCATTTGAAACTAAACGTGTCTTTGTATCGTGGTGGAGAGAACGAGCCTCACTCACGATGGTTTGTCGAGTTGGATGCAGCAATCGCTGCAAGACAACTACGAGACCCTTGCAGCAAGTGTTTTTCGCGATGTCCAACGTTGCGGGTCGTGCGAAGATTCGGGCATATGGGAAACGTTTACGCCGATACAAGCTGCTTTCCCAGCTATAACACTTTAAAGTCAAGCTAAAGAAGGTGTTTGAACCACCACAGAGTAAGTTTCGTGCCCGTGCGGAGTCTTAAAGCTTCGTCAAGGTCATTACGACCTAAACTCGTATACGCAGCGTGCTCGCTACTTGGTATTGAGCATTGTCGACGAGCCAATTGACGTTTCAACGCAAGTTGTAACGTTCATGGCAGGTTTGAATGATGATCCATCCGGAACCAACTGTTTCGTGAGTATTTAAAGATACTGGGCGATGCCATCGACCGAGTGATGCAAGAAGAGTTCGGCATCAAGCAAGCCAAGATCAATGGTTTCGTACCACGGCAAGCGCGCCAGTAGACCGGTACAAGTGATGGTCCAGAGTCAAAAGACATCCCGTACATTTCCACGCTTCGAAATGAGCGTCCTCGCAACGATGAAAAGTGTTTTCGTTGTGGGAAGCCGGGTCATATTGCTTGAAACTGCAGAGTGTCTTTGCCGAGTCGGCAACAGACACAGGGTTCGCGTTTGGATAACCGCGGGAGCCATAAAGGTCGTCGGCTCTAACGCTCCAAAGGGTCGAAAAATTGGAACGATCAGTGGGGCCAAGGCTCCTACAGGGGCCGGGAAGAGTACTGTGGGTGTTGTGGATACACCGACCTCTGGTCCCAACGTGTACCATGCACATGCAGATTCCACTATGAGTGATGAAAGTGTCAAGCAAAGATTTGATTATCCAAGAAGTGTTTGTAGATGCTTTTATGAAACCACAATGAGCTTTGATTGACATTGGTGCGTCGAACAACTTTGTTCGAGCGCAAACTATGACTAGGTGTAACGGGGTTTTTCGTGCCATGGTATGAAGGTGTGGGTCACACAAGATAGAGTGATCACACCATGGTGTAAATTATACAAGATGGCGTCACCACGCAATGGTGTGGACAAAATTAAAAAAACATGTCAGTAAGTGGCTGGAACAGCCAGTAGTTATACATTTAATTAGGTTTTACTATATGGATAGGGAAATCTAAGCATTAGGTATAGGCGGCTTTGACGCAAATAAAACCGAAAAATACAATATACAGAAGAGTTAATTAGCCTTGGGTTAAGGTTGTAGTTACTCTCGGAGTAAGCGGATTGCAATTCGCTACCTCGTACTGATTCTAAGTTTTGAACGAAGGTTGCCGCTTTCAAGCGAAAAAGCTACGGCAGTTCCGATGCACTTGGTACCACTTGTAGTCAATCTACACCTGAGTCGTTACGACTGATTCTCTGTGAGGATGGAGCAGTTCTCCTCTTTGCCCCAAGGCATGCACGAGGGGCAAAAGAGCTAATGTCTCTGTTTGGCCCTGAGGGCGTGCAACACCTCGCTTTGAGAGGACCTGAAGCGATCAGCGCGAGCCTAGACGCTTTTCTAAGCGATGAAAATGCTCTGCTAGAGCACCACAGCAGAAGATCAGCGTCGACTGCGTTCATGATGCCACCGTCGGCAATGGAGGACTTCTCCCGACCCAAGCCGCTCATGGTGAGTGTCAAGACCTTCGAAAACAAGGGTGAAGAGAATCTCCTGTTTTGGGTAAGAGAGGTCAAGATAGCCATGACGTTCTCCATGCTCCAGACGAAATAACAGCGTGTGGCGCTAGCTATCTCCAAGCTCAGGGGACGAGCGCGAAAATTGGCACTGACGTGCGGCACTTCAATCGAAGCGGTGTATCCCTTTATGACGGGGCTGAAGCTGCAGCTATCACGAGTGTTCTTGCCGCCTTACCAGGCATATCGCGTGTGATCGCTTTTCCTTGTCGCCCTACACGGAAAAAAAATATTGGAATTTTTCCAGGGGTTGCGTACGGTATGGCAGCTGATCCTATTCCCAATGCGGTCAAGTGACCGTCTTTATGGAGCGCCTCCGCACTGGCGTGGCCAGAATTGAAGTCTTACGTGTACACCCGTCTCCTTTTAAAGAAGCAGTGCGGCACGAATTGGTTAGAATGCAAACTCTAGCAGCTCGTCGAGCGAGACTGAGCGGATGGATATCAGCTATGCTCAGAAAGAGGAGACAGAGCTCCAAACTGCCTGCAGCGTTTGTACACCGGACGGTGTTTTGTCTTTGATGACACTCGTCATCTTAGAATTAGTTGCCCCCTCCGCAAGGCGCGTCAAGATTTATCGAGCCGATGTTCCGCTTCTTACCAGTCTTCTGGTTTGTCGCGGGGAAACGACATCATCCACTAGGCGCGGGGCGGCCTACTGGGGGAGAACTGAGTTCAGTTGAGCCTCAAGGAGGTAGAGGTCAGCAGAATCCAGCCCCGAAGAGCCCCGTGCCCTTGAACATGGAACGCGTATGCAATTCGGGTTTGCTGGTCGTGGAAGCGGCCGTGAAGGGCTTTGAGGAGCCAAGGAAGATTCTGACCGACTCCGGGGCGTCGAAAAATTGTGCTCGACGGTCCATGATGGACAGATGTCAGCTGTATGCTGAGGCGCTGAAGGCGCGGTTGGTTGACATCGTCACTATTTGCTTAGCAACAGGGACACGTGTCACGGTCCCGAAGGTCCATGTGTACCTCGGTGTCAAGTTTCTTGATTTTGGTAGCGTTGAAAGCTGCTTAGTCTTAGACTTGGATTCAAGGTATGACCTCATCCTTGCTATATCATGGTTGGAACACCATATGCCATGGATCGATTGAAGGTCGAAGACCTTGGGCACGAAGCGCACGATTCTGGTGAGCGTAAGTGAATCATTAAGGCTGCTAGGCGGCAAAAGCGTTCTTGGCGCGGGCACTGGCCCGAGACGTTCAATGTACTGGAGATTGGAGTCTCCGAGTTGGTGAACACAGAAGGTGTATCGGACAGGAGTCCCGAGCATGGCTCGCGGGCAGAACGTGGAGGGGCATGTAACCCACTGAGCGCGGCTCAAGTATTGAGAGCAGTCGCTGCATGCCATAACCGTCCGCATTGAGGGTCGCTTCATGCTTTGACAAGTATACTGCACAATGTGAACGTCGAGGTGACAATCGATCGACTGAAATTTCTTATAAATCTAGCCCCACTCCTTTCCATGCGACAGATATGACAGCTAACGACCATCGGCCTTTTGCACCGCAAGGTTCGTTGCCTCTTAATAGTGGAAAAGCGCCTCGACTGGTATTCTGCCTGATCATCAGTGGGGACAAAGCATATGGGTGCACCAGGTCGTAAGTAGACACGGCATCAGGGCAATCTTGCAGAAGTGAAATGCCAAATTGCAAAAAATTCGAGACTGAGGTTAACCCTCCGCCAAAATATTTTCATTGAGGTTGTCTTCTGGATGCCAGTAATAACTAGCCGTACTTTGTGTTTAAGCTATTCCATAGCGTGAAATTTGCGGTCCCAATTCCAATGGATTGACTCAAAATGGTCTATATACTTGGCTTTTGTATATTAATACAATGTCGAATTACTGTTTTGATCTGTTAACTTTGCCATTTGACGTCTTGATTTTCACTCTCAGTTGCATAAGGCAAATTAGCAATACCAATAGCTGGTACGATGATGCTATACCGTACCAGATGTTCAAGTCCAGCGCAGTGGCAATATATGCGATCGTAATGTTCCTGAGTCGAAAATAAGCAGACGGTGCCATTCTTCTCACCCGTAGATTAGATCTTCGCTTTCTTGAAGAGTTCAAAAACACTCTCAATCACTCGGCCAGAAGGTAACGCCTTAATAAACGGATCGACTATGATGTCAGAAGACCTACTGTGAGTTGCGTGGCATGGTCGGCCAAAGACTGGCGAGGCCCCAATGATGCGCGTGGTGTGGCTTTCAATTCACTGAGCACTGCTCACGTTTCAAAGCAGTATCTGCATGCCACGAGTGCATGGTCGGACGAGATCCCAGTGATGCTCGTGGAGTGGCACGTGATCCACTGATAACTGTTGTCGCTTCTGGATGATGCTGTTTTCGAGGACACCAAGAGGGTGCTGAGCGCACGAAGTGAATCTTCGATCTTGAGGAATCCCTCGGATCCGCACATCCGCACTATCCTTTGGTGAAGGAATCTCAAGTCGTCGTCACCAAAGACCTACCGTCGGTGCGCTTACCCCGTTGTACTTTTCTCGCCAGCCTTGGTTCGCACTTAATTTGTCAATTTAAGACACTGCGCAAAAGCGGCCACTTCAACGACACCACTCCACCTATACGATATACGGTCTCCAAACTATACCGTGCCTGTTCACCAGGGACTATCTGCACCGGGAGTACTCTTCCTTAAAGCAAATCAAAAGGATCAACGACCCCCCCACACAAAATGTAACGGGGATACATGTACCCTGGTAATAGGGGAAGTCACACGAGATGGACATGGTGTGACTGCACCCAAACAAGAATACGGTATGTGGCTGGGTAGCCAGTAGTTTTGCATGTATTTAGATTTTACGATATATATTTAGGAAAATCTATACATTTAAAATTAGGCGGCTTTGCCGCAGATAAAACTAAATAAAATCAGTTTTGGATTTCAAACGGAAGGGTTAATTAGCCTTGGTTTGAGGCAATAATTACTCTTGAGGTAAGCGGATTGTGATCCGCTAAAACTCATACTTGTTCTAAGTATAGAGCGAAAAGTCGGTGACCTAAAATACGCTTCCACAAAGCGCAAAGCTATGGCAGCCCCGCTGCACTTGGTAGCACTTGTTGTCAATCTCCACCTGATTCGTTTTAGGCTGATCCTCTGTGAGGATGGAACAATTTTCCTCGTTGCCCCAGGGCATGCAAGACAGGCATAACAAGCTGATGTCCTTGCCTGGGCCCAGACGGCGTGCACCACCTTGCGGCGCAAGGCCGCGAGGCAATCGGTGCGCGTCTAGAGGCGTTTCAAATTACGAAACGCGCTGCTAGAGCACCTGCAGCAGAAGATGTCTGCATCATTTGCGTCTATGACGCCACCGTCGGTGACGGATGATATGCCCCGCCCTAAGCCGCTCATGGTGAGCATTAAGGTCTTTGGGGGGAAGGATGGAGAGAATCTCCTGCTTTGGGTGAGAGAGGTCGAGATAACCATCGCATCCGCCATGCTCCAGAGCGAGCAACAACATGATGCGCTAGCCATCTCAAAGCTCGGTGGTCGAGCGCGAGAATGGGCACTGACGTGCGGCACTTCCATCGAGGCTGCGTTTCCCTCCTGGGCGGAGCTGAAGTTGCAGCTCTCACGAGTGTTCTCGACGACTAATCAGGCATATCGCGTGCGATCGCGTTTCCTCGCCGCCCGACAGGGCATCAAGGAGTTGGTGGACTTTGTCCAAGAGATGCGCACTCACATTGCCGGGATAGCAGCAGATCCCATTCCGGAGGCGGTCACAGTGACTGTCTTTATGGAATACCTCCGCACTGGTGTGGACAGAATGGAAGTCTTCCGTGTGCATCCGTCTTCGTTTGAAGAGACGGTGAATGTGGCATTGAATGCCGAACTCAATTTCAAGTCGGCACGATTTGGTTGGAATGCACACTCCAATAGTTCGTCGAGCGGGCCTGTGCCCATGGATGTCAGCTAAGCTGATGACGAAGGAGCAGAGCTCCGAGCAGCCGGGCAGCACACAAACACACGACGGTGTTTTGTTTGTGGAGACACCGGTCATCTCGGAGCGGTTGCCCCCTACGCAAGGCACGTCAAGGCTCTTCGAACCATCGCCCCAATTCCTACCAGTCTGGTTCGTCGCGGGGAAACGACACCA